CTTTGTATATATACTAGTGACATTTTTTATTGCATGTGAATAGCATAGCATGTGCCTTCCTCGTGAATGTCATGTGAATAGTATGACATGTGCTGTCCTCATATGAATATCATGTGACATTTGTTTAGTCTCATGTGCATATCAAGTATTGTTTGACTGTTCATTACATATCATGTCGTCTTTATCATTCACATATTCTAATATACTTTGTTCCTACCTGTAGGTATTTAATGAGTGTCAAGAAGGGGGTACTATATCACCTACTACATGTATTTATATGAAGGAATGGTTGGATTACTAAGTTCTGTTTTAATGCAACTATCAATATCTAAACATTTATTTAGTGACTCACAGGGAATGGATTCCATGGGTGTAATTTGAATGTACCGGGGTAGGCACAAAAGCTGCCTTGAATGCTTATTTATTGAATAAAAGATATTTTGTTATTTTTTGTACATACCATCTACTACACCACTATATCGTTCCGATGTTCCCTGTTTTAATCCAGTGCACTTGAAATCATAGAGCATAAGCTATTGGGTTTACAATGTAATATTTCTAGTTTGAATATGTCTTGAATCACAGTTGCTTTTCAAGATACACCATGTGTTTGTTTCAAAAATACTTATCACATTGTATATACAGACAGTTTCTTCACAGTCTGCATAATATTTGGTAGGATTTATGAAAGTTTTGAATTCTTCTGAAAAAATCTACAATATGTTTAATTAAATATGAATAGTGAATATAATAAAATCAGTTACAAGTTTTGAGAACTGTGCCTGTATACAATCTGTTACAATCTTTCAATCACAAAATCAAGTCTTGTATGTTTCAATCACAAAATCAAGTCTTGTATGTTTCAAGAAAATCATCATTTCGTTTTCAAAGCAGTCTGATTCCAGTCAATAAAAAAAATATTGCCAGTATGTTGCCAGCAGTAGATATACTGGTTATCAGCGTCCATCTGGATTCATATCAGGAGCACTATTGAAGATAGAAACATTCACTTCATGTAATATTGAAGACAGTGCACACTATATCGGATCAACATATGTCATGACCGTATATGGTTATGTGACCTCATTATAAATGTTGTATCAAGATCTTTATTGCAGAAAGCTATTCAATCAGTGCTTTATTGAACTCATAAACTTCAAATAGTTTCAGAATAATTAGATTAATTACTTTCTTAATTATGTTATGCACTTTCAGCTATATCTCAAAAACTTACATTTTAATAACACACTGAGTTCATAGGTCTCATTAGATTGGGACACAATACACATTTATAATATTAGTTGGGTTAATTAGTTGTAAGTACTTCCTAAGTAAACTTGTCTGCCTGAAACTTGAATGCATACTTGTATGCTATTTAATGTTTACATACTCAACGCAATCTCTTTACAAAGTCACACCAGGCTATCTAGAGAACTGCCATCTCTGATGGCGTTCTTGTTATACAACACCAGAAAACTTCTTGAACAGATTATTTATGTCATGTTGGCTGATAAAAAGTTTATCAGGATTTTTTGTCAAGTTGTGATGTGATATTTATATTTTGCGAGGGCTTTTCATATGACTTGTTATAGACAAATATACCACATAACAGCCAAGGATTTTTATAAACCATGCTAAATATCTTCATCCACAAACTTTTACTTTCCCTGGTGTGGAAATATTTCTTTATTGTAGAAATATACCACAAACAAGGTGATGATAGTATTTTGTGGTAAAATGTAAAATTATTACTTAACTACAAATGCCATATCAAGAAACTTTTTATAGTGATTTAGGGTAAGCTTCAATACAGTCATTGGTGAAATCAACCCCCCCCCCTCCCCACAATAAAATTGCGTTTGAACTAAATGTAGCGCCCTCATCGGTCACGCATATTATTACTGGATTGATTGTTAAAATTGCATGTCTGGTTGTTGAAATCCGATTTTTGGTTGAGTTGGAAAATAAAATGTTATTAAATATTTAACATATTTTGTACGTTCAGCACAATAAACCACGTTTTTGTGGACTTGCTGGTAATTAGTTAACCATTTTTGCAACATATTTTTTATGTGGTGTGAAATTATGGAGATTATAAAAAATGGTAATTTTCATCTGGCCTGCCACATCTATACACAGTGATCTATATGAGAATGCTATTCACCTGGGTGCATGTTAATATGTTCGTCTGCCATTCTATTTCACCTGAATATTTGTTTTGTAACTAAACACCATGCTTTACTAGCTGACGGCAGTTCGTATTGAAGGATGTCAATGTTTGCCCTTTTTCAGATAAATGTACTCAACAAATACCTTGTATCGTGTACCATACTACATGTATGTTGAAATAATGACCTACATCATATGTAAATGTGCGAGTCGACATCATCTAGATTCACTCGAGTGTGTCATGTATATAGTGTATCTGTTTTAGACAATTGTATTTCTGACGAACCAGATGCACTAAGCTATAAATAGATTACATATATCGGCAAACATTGAGCCATAAGTATCGGATATTCAATTACATGTTCTAATCTCCATAACATTGACGATTACTCTGCTCACAAAAAATCTGGCCAGTAAACAAAACATATTCCACCATCGTTAAAGTCTGACAATGCTACCCTGCCTCTACTTCCAGTCAGACCACTTATAAATAATTATTAGTGGTTTAGTGGTCCGAGTTCCAGTCGAGTAGTGAGTAGTTGATGTGTATGGCGCCACCAGCGGTCGCTCGTTAACACGCCTACAAGCATTGACAGATATTAAACGAACTTTCTGAAAATAATTGTTCTGTGAACACATCGTGAAACTAAACGAACATTTTTTTTAAAGAAAGCTTGTTCACAAACTATGCCAAAAATGATTCATAACCAAGTTTAGATTTTGTTCGCGTTATCCCGCGTATAAATGGGATAATATAGTCTTTTCCGAATACTATAGCGCTTTACGTAATATTTTGATGTAGTAGAATATTAAATTTGAATAATTCAAATTACAGTCATCATTTCGTTTATTGTGTCAGTTACGTTGTAAATTCGCACAATTTGTCATGCACGGTATATATAATATATATATTCGAGCAAACATTGTGCGCACTGTATATGTCGCGTGAGACCCATATCAAATACGACGACTGGGTTGTTTTAAACGTGTCCAAATCCGTCGCTACGTTGATCATGTAAGTACGCGAAACAACTGCGGGAACAATCAGAATGTTGCATCTCATTAAACAAACATATAGACTGAATGATAGGACCCTTCTCAATAAAACATGTTCCTATATGTCTGGAGAACTGATTCACCTGTAGAATTGTATTCCTTTAAAGGTCAAGTCTAATTGTAATATCGATGAAAAACAGTGTAATGGTCCGTGTTATTAAATCTCTAATTGACCATAAATTGCAGTAATTTGAAGGTCAGTTTGTGTATTCACCATGCCCGTGCATTGGACAAATGCATCCATCAAATATGACTACATTAGTTTACATGTCTACTTTATTTTTCTTGTCAACTGTTGAAAAGCTTACATCCCGGATGTACCTCCTGGCATAGTCTCAGGTTGTCTTGGTTAGCATAGGCTTTGCTAGGTATATTATTAGTTTTTGTCTTCTTGTTTCGTTTATTATTATTTTATTTTGTGTCACATTATTGGACATGCATGTTGGTGAATGTTGTAATTGTACATGCTTTTTAGTCTCAGTGACTTGTATGATGTACAGGGCTGAATATAAGTATTGCATTAAAGATGGTCGTCGTTGCACAAATTACCATCGGTGACACTTTCGATACCTTCCACTTAAAAAAATACCTAATTGAGGCTCGGTAACGTCCCAGTTTGTACTTGTTGAACTGCGCAACAGTCAAACTCACCATCTTTTTTTTTATATGAGACCCATATCTCGTGCACGCGTTGCGCAACGACCACCGCCCTTTAACCGTCCTATCTAACTAGTAGCAGTGAAGTTACATTTAACAGTTACTGAAATATTACGCGTCAATATTATCATGTTTTGTTATTTAGTTTCTCGTCGACTAAATCCACGCCTCTGAAATGATAGTTTGGCTACATACTTACACTGCTCTCATTCCCCCACGCTAACCAGCTTTCCCCGCGTTAACGAAAAAATATGTTGTCTTCTGCTGACTTCTCTTCCGGTCCGTCTTTGAGAATTAAACTGTATACTTCGATCCTTACACCAGCGAACAACGAATAGAACGGTAAAATTATTAAATATCTGTTATATTCTCGCAGCTTTTTCAATCTCTCATGTCTTTAATAAAAACAAGTTCTCTCGTTAACTGTATGTGTGCGTGTTATTATAATACCCATATATATATGACCGTCATTAATATACAGTCACTATGACACAGTAGTCAAGCAATTAGTGTACGATTGAACGGGAATCTAATTTACTGCACATTTTCGTGTCGCCAATTACCTGCGTTCTTCGCCTAGTGGTAATAACTGCTTACTAATTGGATTACAGCAGATTATGGCCCAAATGATCCCCGTTCTCAGCAAATAACGAGATGTATCTGGTCTACTGATCAGACATAAGGTTTGTGTAATCATGAATTCTCGATGACAAAATAAAACAACGGTTTTTGACAACCGATCCCTTTCAACGTTCACATGGAACCCGTTGTGGATTGGGATATGGTTGTGGATTGTCTGTCTCACTTAGCCCTCACTTAGTGTTCTATGTAGTTATAATCGCTCGATTCATTTATAATAATATAAAAATAATTTATTCATATATGCATCAAATATTATAAATAATATAGCATATAGTATTGTGGATTTCCAATCCAATGTGGGATATTTCCCCTAAATAAATAATTAAATATGCATCAAGACTGGGTCTTGGTTCTGTTCAATACCCTGTATTTGAAATGTACACTCATTGCAAAGCTACTTGCAAGATTGTGTCTGATTGGCTATCCAGTCGTAACAGTCGGACCAATCAGAGAGTAGCTTGTTTTTTTCCAGTTTGTGTTTCAAATTCTGCCTCGTATATATGCTTGCTAAACTAGAGTCTGTAGCATCTTTCGCATAGAGAATTTGACATTTTATCATGGCGTAATTTGTATATTAATGACACGGATGCATTACAGCGGAAAACCCATATAATAGTATTTTTCAGCTCCTGTCTTTGGTTATGTTGGTCACCTACGACTCTTGTCGATTCCCAGCTTCTTTAGTCATTACGTGACTCTCACGTAAAGTGTCGTGTTTGGGTTCGGCTCTGGATCAGTGGAATTGTTTTTTAAATAAATAACAACACGACCTGGTGAAAGTATGAGAACGAAAAATTAACAGAATTAATACCCGCCACAAGAATTAATATAAATAATTGTGTACTATATTAGAATTACTGTGATTGTTTTCTATGTTGGGGGAAACACTGATACGTACCAGACCAGGTTAAACGTGACGTCATCACAATTGCTTGGCATTCCTTGTCACGTGTACATATCTCTTCCGCTTCTCTCACATCAAACGCTGATGTCGTACATCCATTACCGGAATGTGATATTAGACAAGGGTAGTCGTGTTTTCCGGGGAGATCATGGCCAGGTATTGCACGATACACTGTGAATGAAGTAAACTCTATTATTTCAGACCACCGTTAAAACACTTTATTTTTTCCAAATAGAATTATTTTGTCCATGTTTATTTCATTCATGCACGAAATGTGTGATATTGTGATGATAATATAGCAGGAAAACATACTAGTATGCATATCCCACGATAATACGTTTTCCTGCTATATTATCATCACAAAGTATGGTACTTTATGACAAGAACTTTAGATAAGGTTGCGTGGGCGTCTTGTTCGTCTTGGTCGTCTTTATTGATTTTATTTCCTGTCCAGTTATTCATTTTTAAACTGATTCTCACCGGTTGTCTGGTCCGCGTTCTCATTCCGTGCCAAGTATTCTCCGCTTGTGTAGAAGAGCAGACACTCTTCCATTTTTCTCTGTAACATTGCTGCTGTCCAATTGAAATTTGCTATTAAGTATAAAATTAAATGCGTACGGTTAGTATGTGACATTTTAGGTCATGTTCCGGTGTACATTTCAAGTGAGATTTAAAGCACACGTCCTTGCAAAAGATCCTTTGAATTGAGAGAGTTCATCACTCGTTCAACATAATGGATCACGTGATCGATGCATGGTAACACGATACCCCGTCTCTGTGACGTATGATATGCCATAATCAATCACTCTCACCACCTCCATAGGGTGCTTGACATTTAACAATCTTCTGTGAGTCCTCCTTTTCTTTGATCACGCCGACTTGGTGTATGGTTACGTAGGAACGACAACAAGGACGAGCCATCTGTGCCGCTGTCGGCGTGTATTTACTAGCATGTCTGTCTGATCACCGGAAGCCGAGAAGCAAAATCAAAATTTGATGAAGAAGCGCATTACGCGCCATGGTGCATACGACTACGCCGCGGTGATGATTACATGAAGTCTGGCTCAAAGGTTAGAAAGATGAGTGATTTTTTTTCGGAGAGAAAAAAGCTTTTATAATTAACTCGCTAATCAAGAGCCGTGGTTCAAAATGGAATGTCTCTGTATAGGTCAGCTTGTATGATTAAAGTGTAACTCGATACACTGGCGAATTTAGACATTTAGAAATACACATGATGTCACAGTTAACTCCGTTCCGTTCAAGTTGTTTTCACAATAAAACCTTACTTATACACCGAGTTTCGTGAAGGCGTTAATTTGTTTTATGGACATTTGTAAAAAAAAAAGAAAGATCCTCGCGCTTCATTCAAATCATGAATGCCGCCAACGCTTGTGAATGGTTAAGTTGTTTTCAATCGCCATTTGAAATTTATAAATATTTTATATAAAACAAATTCACACCGTCCTCCATAAACTCGGTGTATTACAGCTCAGACTAGTAAATTACTAGTCTGAGCTTATATACATCATTGTATTTACCGCTGTTATTAAGTATCTGGTCAACGATTGGCTTAATGGTGCTCGGGACATCGAATGGCAAAAGATAACTGAAGAAGTAGCGATAGCTGTTGTAGATATTGATTTTTTCTGAGAAAGCCTGGCACCTCATATTGACGCAAGGCAAGTGTACGCTCTTTGAAGTGGCAGATGTCGCTGCTTTCGCACAGTCTTCCGATGTCATACAGACTGGTTCTTCGTTGTCCACATCGTCTATATCGGCTAGTTTGATCTGGTGTTTAGAAATAGAATTTTTAAACAATAGTTACGCAAATTGCCCGAAGACAGAAAAAAATAAATTGAGATTTGAAATTCGATATGCATCACATGACAGAGACCCCTGGCGTCCAGGCATTTACTCCTTTCCTCCGTCCGCACCTAGGGTCCAAAAACAACATTTAGCGTCAGTATACATTCTTGACAGGGTACTGACATGTCTTGGAAGAGCCGCACAATCGTGTGAGAAGTGCATCGAATCACATGGGATTTGAGTTTCCGCTATATCAGACGAAGCGTAAAAGCGAGCATTTGACATGCCTTCGCTGAAGATATCATCAGAAATCTGAGAAATGCAACCGATTCACTGGGGAATATAGACTATAAGGCGAAGAGTTGAGAGGAGACTTACCTCGCCGCCAACAGTTACAAACTGAGCCAGTTTGAAGTCATGAATAGCCAATGAGCCCATGGGAGAGCGAGCTAAATGATGAAGTAACCGGGCTATCCCCAAGGCAATCTGAAGACAGAATTAGGAGGAAGAATTCGAGTTAATATACAAATATAATTCCCTTGAGAACAAATATGATTGGAAATCGCCTAGCATAAATATCATGTTATACAGAATGCATAAATAAAGTACACTAATTTACCCGCGGAATATGTTAATATATCAACGTTATTTGAATATTCAACGATTTATAAAATTATGTAAGCTGACAGCTACGTTAGATGTAACGTCAATTCTAAAACGGTGTTTCTCGTACTTATCAATCGTTTCTCCGTTGATAGCAAAGGGTTGCTATGGCAACGCTGTTAAAGACAATAAACACAGTTTTTATTGCGAATTTCGATAGAAATTATCATTAGGTAATTAGTAATTGAATTAAAGATAACATCTGCATTTATAATATATATATATATCTGAAAAACGCAGTGTGTGTGAATATACGTATACGATACTGTTTGCTGTGATAAACGAACGTGCCCTGGGGAATGTCCAATATTGTTCTACTGAGTAATAGAAGAACGTTTGTCACCAGACTCGATGACACGACTCGTTATCTTATCGTAGTACATGAATCAAACCTTACCCGGAACCTATCCTCCCACGAAAGCTGTAGAAGATTGATAATGTTCACCGGTTTTCCCAATTCCGTTATTACTTTCACCTGATTATCGACATCGCCCAGGCATGAGCCTAGAACCTAGTAAGCAAAGAGAAATATAAATGTTTTTTTTTTTCTTTATATCATTTCAAATTTCACAAAGAAAAGAAAGAACATAGTAGTTCTCATAGTAAAGAACGTGACATTCTGTATATAAGATATTATAATAATATAATAAAACTTCTAATCTTTGTTTCATATTCACGGTACACATAGTTGTATATTCTTCGGCATAGCAAATTCACCGATTTAACACTGGGTACTTTGTACTCGTGTAGGAATTCAGGATTTTTCTGAATGCCCTTGAAAGTATAGTCGCATCACTGTGTGTACTATGCGGTGTACATTTCATTTGTAAGCAATACAATGCTGATAGCCATGTCAACAATCTCCCACAATTTCGGAATTACATTAGATTCCCTATAGTAGTCACGAAGTAATGATTCCACTAAAATGTCATAATCGTTGACAATCAAAATAAACCAAATCCGTGGATATTTTCGATGCTTAACTGTGGCATTTCAGTTAATCCGGAATGATGCATTGCTCGGTATACAATGAATGTCGCTCTGATATTATTGATCACTGTCAGCCTACTATCCGTTGACCTATTAGAAAGGAAATTCACTGTCCCTAATGTAAAACGCCACTCACAGGATTAGCAATGCAGAAATACACGATTTGACCTCGCTGTCTAATGCAGAAATAATAATTACGCTAAATATCCGCAAGCTACAATCGGGTGAGCGTATAGATGAAAGCGATCGCATTGGAGATATAATCTTAAAAAACGCACTGTTTCTTGTAATTGTACGTACTGTTTTTGTTTAAACGTCAGACCATTTATTTGACATTGCCACTTTAGATGGGATTTTAATGATAGTAAATAGACACTGTATGTTTGCCTTCGTCATTCCACTCGCCTTAACCTCAAGAATTCAATACGTTTATTACGCCGTTATTCACACAAATAATAACAACGAACAGAATATATTCCATATTATTATGTTTTACTTGTGTACGCTGTTCTTTCTTTAAGTTCAAGTTGCTTTTGGAGAGTAATATGTTGTAAGTTTACACGTGTATGTTATATAGAGCGAGACGTGAGGTTGATTCGTTAGATGAGTTCAATACAGGCAACCCAATCACATAGCAAGCGCCATATCAGGTATTACTAGTCGGTTTGCTCTCTGTCTAATTACAAGTCGATTAGCGCGTAAACAGTGTAAGCGGTGCAATATGGAGAATCCCTGTTCCCAGTGTGAGTGATAGCAATTTGGTGAAATACTAGAGCTAAAAATAACGTTTTAAACACCAACCCAATCATTTATAAATTAAACCCGTATGTGGGCTGGAGATGCCACGGTCTATATAGGGCCCGGGGCACTGACAGCGATGGGTTAACAAATTACAAGAAATTTTATCTTTGTTTACACCAAAGTTTCATTCTCCGTAGTCCATTGCATAGCCCAGTAGTAAACACACCCCAGAAGAAAAATAAATAAATAACGTTAATGTAAGACAGTTTCCATCTGCCTGCCCTGTGTGGCACGCATATTTCTTTGTTGCAGAATTTGACTAATTTAGGAATACAATACAGTTTTACTGTTATTAGCGATGTCTTCAGCCTAGAAAATCTTGTTAAAAAGATTTAGATCAGATTTTCTTCCATGGTATGGTTTTCTGATAGTGTTTTAAAAATTCATGAGGCGGAAAACGCCGTTAGTTAAAATGTAAGCTGAATCATAGTAATGCCTTTGTCTGTCAGCGAGCACGGCGGTTTAAACTGAAGACTGGCCATGATAATGGGTGGCCACACTACATTCTGCCTCAGATGTAGTATGTACATTAAGCTCGTTATTTGAAGCGAGGGGAAATGACAACGGTTGAAAAATGATATTCAACTTATATCAAATGGTAATTCAGTATTTGAAACTATAGCAATGATATTACGAGGTAGCATGCTGGTGTGGTTATGTAGGGGCGAAGGTCGACCGTGACGAAAGGGTTTCAAACTGTTGTTTTTCTATGAATTTATACGTTGAATATTCAGAGTTCAACTCTGACATATAATATACATTAATTTTAAGTAAACTTGCATCATACTGCGGCAATTTGTGGGAAATTGGTGCACAGTAAAAACTGTGGAAATGTGTCAACAACTTATACCGTTGTATGTTTGTAATATCTCAGGTATTCTATAAAAGTCGTCAACTCGGGTGTGTATCATCGGGAATCTTATTAAATTTAGAAATGGTATTGAGGTATATATCAGCATAGTTTATTGTTCTATCGGGTGGTTGTTAAAGGTGAAAACGGCACCATGTACTAGCCATCTGTCGGCGATTTGGGTTCTTTGTCATCGTCTCAACGCGGAATGTTAAATATGACCCCCTCAAAAAAACACGGCACATACACAATTCAGTGGTAGGTAGGTTTCCCCTACGCGACGAGATTTCCTTCCTTTGATGACCTTCGATTTATACACGGATATTTTTCGTTGAATATTGCTGAGAAATTGAGTGAACATAAACTGACAAAGAGCTGTTGATCTTAATAAAGGCGTTTTGCACGCCTCAGAGGCTCCCATACTTTCGAGTTGCCCTCTTAGTATGACGGGGTATCAATTGCAGTGCCATGTATAGACCAACATATACGCGTTAACGCCACGCAAAAAAGACAAAATTCTCCCTAAACTCACAACCTTCCCAAAAAAAGTATTATAATATTCGACACAATTACTATGATAACTCACAAACTGTTAGTTATATTTCTTTTGAAAAAAAATAAATCAATGTATTACCTTCAAAACGTTTGTGTGTTTCAACGCATTGAATAGAGTGATCTCTTTCAGTAGCTTATAGTTGGCTAGCTTTAGACAATCGGCGCTGCTCATATATCGTGCTACACATTCGTTCACATCGCGTCCATTCATCGCTACAGATTTTATGGCAATTTCATTGCCATTATATTCCGCTCTTTCCACATATTTTGTATAGCCCATCCCAAGTCGTTCTTTGGTGCTAGCGTTGAAAATATGAGAACATCCCAAATAGCCGTCGTGGGTATCAGTGTCATGTCCATTGTGAAACGTCGATGAGAGCGTGTCCTCTCCCGTTAGTTTAAACTGTTTGATGTCCATCAGGCGTCTTATATTTGGTTCCATAGCATCCATGTGTAACTGATCCACAGAGTTTTTATAAGCACTGACTTGGTGTCGGTAGTTGTTTAAGTCTGTCTCTAATTCCCTTATATGTTTAGTTAGTCGCGTCTCGAATCCCATTATCGGTGAGTGCCTGTCGCCGTTTTTCGTTACGGAGAACAACGAACTGTGCATAGAGAATCTAGATCTGTTCGTTGGCCATACAAGATAGTTCTCAGCGTACATAAACCATGAGACCATCATGAACAGGAAAGTGATGAGACGACGGTGGCGAGCCAACACCCGCAAGGGTAGTCCAATATTGCATCGCGCCATCTTAGTGCATGGCTTTCCTTTCACTGTCTCGGAACATGATGTGCGTATACCAGGTATACTGAGATCCTCCCATTGACTGAATAATAAACAGCAGTGACAAACAACAGGAACAGTCCTTTCATACCATAACTTCACTTCTTCTATCAGACATTAAATAATGAACACACGTGACAAATAAGGACAAATTGATTCGTCATCAACGCTCGTTAATTGCGGCTATTAAAAGAAGCTTTGGTGTGAATGGTGATTGATAAAATAAACATACGACGTATAGAGGGCGTCGTTTTAAAGACCTGCAGCAATGGCCTTGTCAGACTTGGTGATAGACCGGCAGTAAGGCTGGCCGCTACTACTTACACAATGCCAACACTCCAAGATGCTGAAGTTCCATTAAATCCTTTGTAAGGGTGGAGTATCCAAAGCCGGTGATGAATGAGTGCAAGTAGGTGTCGTTCTCACTGCTAGGTTGCCTTTAGCCTCGGGTCAATGGCTGCTATTCAATGACCTTACCTGTGTCTGCGTTAGTCGTGCTCTCTCTGGCGTCATCCCTGGTTCAGGTAGAGTAATCTACTCCTGGGAAGAAAGCCATGCTAATCTAGCGTTCATAATAACAACTTTGCTTCTATTTGCGCGATAAAATGCTCTATTCATTTCCCTTTCATTTCCTTTGTCGATCCTCACAAAACAAGGAACAATATAGAACACCCATTTACGGCCAATGCGAACAATTGGTTAACAGAAAGAAGTATTGACTAATCATTATTCTTTCACTCCAGTCCTTAATTACAGCCATCTTTATATTGTTATGTTCACTACACGGGTATTTATAGGTCTTCTTAACAATACTACAGCGCTGCAGTGATTATACACGGTTGTGTAGGTCTGACATTCAAGTTATACGATATCATGGTGGACACGATGTTTTTAATTTTATGATTTTCAACTTTTAACCATCTTGCAGAAATAGGCGTAAATCTTAAAATGGTCACAAAATTAACGCTACTGCGAAAATGTTTGAAGAAAATAGTCGATTCTTGTTAACCAACACCAAGTACTAGTATGTGACCAGATAGTGCAAAACACAATTGCGGTGGACTTTGCACAAAATGAGTGAAATACGTATGCTTGCATTGACGTTAAATTTTGACTATAAGTATTTGTGAATTTTGAATTCAGATAAATATGGATTCATATACTCAACTAACTATTAATGTAGTCTCTAAGCTGCGAAAGATCGTTTTTTTTTTTTTGCTTGAAAAATGTTTTAGTAAAATTTACTGTAATTCACACTGTATGGCAGTTACTTTACGTAAACTTGGACAAAACTAATTGTACGTATTTAATTACTCAATGCTATTGATGTACAAGAACGTATTGAAGGTCATTTATATCAGAACATAAGCTTCGTTTTAGAATTATTAGTGAACATTGGGGGCGCTATAACATGTTTTCGAATGAAATATATTAGGGACTATATTTAAAACGTGATTATTTGGTCTCGTGGAAATCGTGGAAAATGTAACATACATATAAAGCTATGTATCGTTTATTAATTTAGATAAATGGCGCGATCAAGGAAAGTGTCGATCTAAATTCTAATTATTCGCCTTTCCCTACTGCCCGCGTTGTGTGCACTGCACTTTGGATTTATATCCATTGATTTCTATTGAAATTCTAAAAGTGTATTTGTTCCATATTCAATCTGGAAAATTGAGATTAGTATTAATTCTGTGTAGATAGTACGTCAAATTCCTCAAATCGCGAGACAGAAGTATGCAAATGGTTCGCCTTTGTTTAATTATATTCTCATAAATTTGCAATATAAAACCATGGAACTAGTAACCCAGTTCATGATGAAAAAAACAGCTACCAAATGAGTGCGATTTTACCCAGGTAGTGGAGGGGGTAGGCTGGGGTGTGTGACAGATAAATATATGTTGTGATAATGTTGTGAAGAAGTTTTCATTTGTGGAGAAGTGGAGTGAGTTGATTGTCACCCAGAAGAGGAGATAAGCTAATAATAACATATTAATGGAACAAAATTACAGTTACAATTGTTTCATACAATGTGCAAGGTTGAAGCTGATTGGATGAAAAAGTTATAATGAAGGGCAATGATTCATAGACATAATTCTTTCATATCATCCATTTCATTCAATGTTAAATATTGTCCAATGTACCAGTAATGCATTCTGTCCACATTTCTATGTAAACTTTAAAAACCATGTGAAAAAATCAAAACGGAGAGAAATTTAATAACATATTGAGCTAGTATTCTGTAGTACTAGTAATCCCTACTGCGTTTATGGGAATTTCATATTGTACTCATTGGAAGTTAAAAAATGAGTTGCTTCTGTTTGACCCGGCCTTCTCCCAATGGTAGTTAACCTTTTTATTATATTTTTTTATTGTTACTTATGAATATCTTTTGGTTTTACTTGTCATTATTAAGTTTGTTATTTATCGTCACTGGTCGCCGTAAATACAACAATTAAAAAATAACAATAAACAAAAATTAGAGCCTATGCCTACATCGGAATTTAATCAGATGGTTGTTCACTGTGCAGCAAGGCACACGATAAACCACTTACCCCAAAGGTGCCATCACTGAGTTCAATAGCGCCACCACTCGGAACTCTTCAACTCGCAATGGGTACCGATTTGAAGAAATCGATAATATAATTGGGTGAGATCATCTACTACCGTGTGTCTATTCTGTCCTAACTCATCATTTATATTTGATTACAGAAGTCCAATTAAATCTCAACTGTATAAATAAATTCCGTAATTTGCTGATGACTAAGTATGAGTGAAACTGGAGGGCTCGCACATTTTCTCGTGCTTTTCCTCGGGCTATCTAAACTAGTGCTGGCAGTGTGTACATACATGCTTATGTACAATATCATTCTTAGTATGTCATGGGTACATTGGTATGCCACATAATTACGAAATAAATTTGCATTGTTTCGTTAATTGATAAATACTATTAAATAAATGCATACACAAAAGACAAAAAAAAACTAAATAAATAACACAAAAATTTCAAAATTTTATAAACTATATATAAACTTTGTAATTTTAACATTAAATAACCTTTCAAATTTACCAAATACTTTTTCAATACGTGTTTGAATATCTGTTCTGCTCGTTTTTATTGGAACTTGAATGCTGCAACATGTGTTTCCCTGCATATTTTATGATTTTTCCGAGGTTTGGCTAATTTTAGGCGGTTTTAGATTTTTTATATGATGTTTCTTGTATTGTATATGTGATTTACTCGAGTATAAAAGTTATTTATGACGTCATGAACGAAAAGTTCCAAGTGTAACTGATGAGGTTAGTAAAAAGTTAAGATTCAGAATTTATCAAACAAAGGCGTGAAAATTATATACATACCTTCTTTTCTCTATCATGAAAAATATTTCATTTTAATATTAATATTGTTGTTGTTATAATCCATACTATTAATACGATCGGGTTATGCTTTGTCTAAAACTGTTGCGTTACATGTTCTCGTCACGGTCCATATTGCATCGTGTTTCCCACACTTCAGCGGCAAAACCTGAGCATTTTACAAAAAATTCAATATTCTAGTTGTGTACACATGGAAGTTATGTATGAAGTCCGACTAATTATTGGCGTTCACGTCGTCGGGACTGAATCTCGACACGTGCCGAGATTTGCTGTCTGGACGCTGAGCACGAACCGAAATCATGCCCTCGGTGTTGAACTTAAGAGAACATAAAAATGTAATGAACGAAATCAAAGGAAAGCAGGACGTTGTCGGCGACATATATTTATGTGGTGCTGCAACCGGTTTCTTTTTGAAAATGCTACATCGACGTGATAAAATGGCCGTTTTTCGAATAATTTTATCTACACGTCCATATGCACTCACAATAAACACCATAAAAGCAAATGGATATGATTTCAATAAAGTTATTATTATTATCATCATATGCGTATTGCCTGCCATGCTTGGGTATAAAATAACAGATCGACAAATCTGCTGCGTTCACGTGGAACAATTATATTTATTAATATCTATATTCACATATTATCTTGAGCACATATGCTGCATTTGTTTGCAACTTGTAAAAACTAAACGAGTTGCTTTTTTTCGTGTTTAATATATTTTGTTGTACCCATTTGATTTTGTATATCGTGTCTTAAATGTCAAAGGTCAAAACTATATCACTCAATGTACGAGGTATTAGAGAATAGCAAAAAAAGAAAAGAAGTTTGTAAATATGTGCGTAGGCAAAAGGCAGATATTATGTTATTACAGGAAACGTATTCTAATCAGTGTATCGAAAATAGATTGAAATCTGATTGGGAGGGAGAACTATTTCTATCACATGGTACAACCCACAGTGTTGGTACAGCTATCATGCTTAAAAATAATGATGATCTGAAGATTGGTAGACTGGTTAAAGACGTGCAAGGTAGATATGTTATTTTAAAACTCTGTAAGGGTAATTATTCATTTGTCATCGCTAATGTATATGCCCCAAACGGTAGTAGAGAACAAGAAATATTCTACACGTGTTTCAGTTCTATCTCAGACTAGTAATACAATATAACTAGTCTGAGGTTCTATACTGAACCAGAATTTCCCGCACTCAAATGTAATCATTGCAGGTGATTTTAACGTTCCCCTTGACCCAATTATTGATAGACGTGGACTTTATTTGGACAATAAACGTCCGGCTAGGAAAGCAGTCCACACTCTTATGAATAATTTAAAATTAATTGACGCATACAGACAGCTAAATCCAACAAACTTTCGTTTGACATGGAGACGGGGAAATTCTGGTTCAAGGATAGATTATTTTTTGATACCAGAATATTTGCTTAATCTCGTTAAAAAATGTGACAGTGTTCTCAGTATCCGTACAGATCATAGTATGGTTACAATTATATCTGATACCCCCGACACCTCAAGAGGTCCTGGGTTTTGGAAATTTAACTGCAGCCTTCTGACTGATGAAAACTTTGTT